CATACATTCAGAATAGGAAAATAACAGGAAGTTAACCTTAAAACCGACGGCGTCTTGTGTGGAGTCTTCAATGCATGTTCGTGACCACGTCCAATAAAGAATTCTGTTTATTTTTTGGTTCTTTTTTAAAATATGAACTCAATTAATAAGCGTCTTTCGTTTACAGGTGTTTCAAGTACCCTTAAGTGTTTTATTTGTCTTCCCGGTGCACGCCCTGACAGATACATTTAATTACAGTTTTCGTTGTTTAGTTGAAACAAGGGTACCTATTTTTTCATCTAGAAGTTATAACACTTACAGTCTTAAAACTTCCTCTTATTTATTATGTTTCGTCACTTAGTTTCTTTTTTGCAACTGAATACTTTTAAAACAAGCGGGCCAACTCACAAGAACACTTATATTGAGAGCCGAAATAAATCATCCATATGTAAGAACACATTTTGAGTTAAATATTATGTGTTGAGTTCTTAGAAAACACTTCAACGTCCGTCATGGGCATCGGTGTTGGGCCGCAGAAATCGAGCGCGCGAAGCTTCTTAAAAGACAATGCCGTGTTGTAAGCTGCGGGGCCCATCTTAGCCGGAAACGAGCTTCGGTGATGCCCAACCTTTTCACGCGTTGCGTATTTTTCTCTTGGATACCCTGACTCTGTTGGCTGTACTTTCTAATTAAGCCTTAATTTTTTTTCCAAACAGAGCTTGCAGTTATTTGTTTTTTATAACTGGCCGTGCGCTCACTAAAAGTTTCAGTAAACAAAAAACTGCCCAGTGCTCATATTGTTGATTAATTTCGCGATTTCAAATGTACGCAAATCGTTTCGTTTTTAGTGTTTTAGTGCATCTGATTCTGTGCAGGATAACAACAGTTTACGCACACTTGGCCTTTTTAAGACTTATAGCTTCCCTTGTCGATAAGTTAATTTGTTCAAGCTTATTAGACCTATTAAACTTGACATAATTTACAGGGTTACGTTTTCTGTAAGTCACGAAAATCGAAGCCGGAGCTAAACGATTGGACGGCGAGAGAGATCGATCAGCAAAACCTCTCTGTGGGTCTGATTTAAGGCAAGGATGACAACGTGTTAGTAAGACAACAATATATGAGGGAGAGTTTAGAGTGACTTGGGGCAAGAGAGAGTTATTATCACATACCCATTATCCTGTCTTGTTCAAGGCTTTGTAAAACGAAGCCGCATTAAGGGTTAAGATGTTGAAAAGCAACAATTAAACTACATTTGGAATGGTTTTTTTTGTCGAGATATACGCACTTGTAGAGGCAAAATTTCTTAGTTATAAAGTATATTTTTGAGACCTAACGCAGATACTGAATAACAAATCTGAAATACAGGACTTAGTATAGGGAGTAGACGAGGAAAAGACACTTCATACTACACTTTGAACTTTTTTTGAATGAGTAAAATGAGTTAGTAGCAAACCCGGCTAGAATTATATAACTGACACCCGAGAGGACTCCATTTAAAGTTTCCTAAAATTGAAAGCAAGGATGTACGAGTTCATCTTTGTAATACGGCAGTGTGTGTATCGTAGAATTCTAACAGGAAAATTTTCATAAATCAGTTAAATCGTCAATACAACAACAGCGTGACTGTGTTTTAATTATTTCGTAAACCTGTCATTTTTTTATTAACTGTTCAATTGCCACAGCGGCACATTTGCGTTTCGAAACCGACTGGTTGCGAAAACAATTCGTCCAGTACATAATAGTGAGGTGAATGGTATAAGAGACTCGGCAATAAATGGCAGCTAGAGCAAATTATATTGGGGTTTAAAAAGAAAATATTGATTCATGGTCAACTTTCTTAGCGGTTGACAGGTTGGCATACAAATTTCTCCCAAATTAAGGTGCCTCCCAAGTTTGAACATTTACTCCGTCCCGGCCATCAACAAAGACTCTCTCTCCTCCGCTGGGTATCCCAGTAAAAATAGCAAGAAGAACAGGGACGCCTCCCTTCGACACAAAGAGGCCTCTGCGGACGAGAGAGGGATACGGTTCTATGAATACTCCGATGTCAATATAACACTGATTATTACAAATTTTTGTCTTTATCTAATGCTGTAGTGGTGACCGTTTCCCGTTTTCTTTTGTTATTGTGGCGATGTAGTCAATGCTGACATTTGGGAGGTATCCCCCCTAAAAAATCCAATCGACCCACTTTAAGAATAATCAAGCACTGAATCAAAATGAAATGTATGGATTATTTGTCCGCTGGGGCAAAAAAAAGTGGCCGTTAGTGGAGTTTCGACTGTATTTTCTATAAACTTTCTCGAAGTCCGTTTCTGGTTTTTGCCTCCTCGCGCTTTCGGCGTTCTCACGGCGCGGTCGACTTGTGGCAAGTCTATATTTTCTAGAACAAATAAATTTTATTGAAGTCAATACCAAGGTTTGTCAATTGGTTCGTCAAGCGTAGTATTAAAATGGTATTTTTTTTTTTTGTTATAGTAACTCAGGCTAATACCTGTAAATATTCCATTTATTACTCGTGCACGCCCAGGCAGGTTTGTGGCAGGTGTGCCCATTATATATTTTTTTTCCGTTTTCCAGTGATCGTTAATTACAATGACGCCAGTGAAACATTTTTAAGATTCTAGCACTTCCTATTTCCTTTAACGCAAATTGCATTCTGGGAGTCTTTAAAGGACTCGAGATACTATTTAAGAGGGCTCTTTGAGTTTAGCTTCACTGAAACTTGATAAACTGTCAAAGCTGATCAACGAGACTAAGAAGATCTTTACCGAATAGCCGTGGAAATGGGACAGTCCCTCAGCCAGGAAGTTCAAAAGAAGCCCCACGTTTTGGGGGATGTTGAACGCCGCATGCGCAACAAGCTGGAATGTACAAAAGCAAAGCTGTACATCGACGCCCTTAACGACGAATGCATAGCTATAGTGTGTGCGGTGGCGAAGTTTGATGGCATGTTGTACATAGAAGATGCGAAAAACCAAGATCCGAAGGGCGACATTGAGAGCATCATGGGAAGTTATCTACACATGGAGGGTAATAAACCAGACGACGAGCTAATAGAGCTGGTGACCAATGTGGTAAAAGCCTTACTAACCCATAAACCGGGAACAGTTGAAGGTCGCCACATACACGTTGTTTATGCCAACAAGGGCTTCATTCGTTTTGACTACTTTATCTACCTCCAAATCCTGGATGATGGAAACGCTGCCCTGTCTTACTACGGACAAGTGGGTCTCATGGATGTGACAAAAGCTAAACCACAAGTGCTAATTTACGAGCTGAGAAGAGCGACAGACGACAAAAAGCTTGAGAAGGCAGGTAAAGAGCTGGAGAAGTCGGAGAGTGATTCAATGAAAAAAGTTGGAAAATTCCTGATAAAGCTAGCTACTGGTCAGTGAAGATCAAATTGGTGGGGGACAGTCGACGCAGGGCGCGAGAAGGCAGACAGAAGGAGATTCGTGTGATAATTTTTTTTGTAAACCATATTAATCATTTTGTTTTATCAAAAAACAACAACAACAACTGTATGTCAGAGAGGTGTTCTAAAAGTGCTATCAAGTTTCCATATACCAGAATAGGAAGTGGCCTTTTCTGTAATAACTTTGTTTTGCAAAGGAAAGGGATGGAACTTTTCTCCTCTCTGCAATTATTTCATTTGTGTGTATCATTGCATTGACTGGTTCATCCAGTACTCTTTGATTTTTTTATCCCTTCAACTGAGTGAAATGAGTGTATAGTTATCCTGTCTACAATTTTATGAGTGAAAGTGGGAGTAACTTTAAATAAATATTATTCAGTAAAGGACTTGATATTTTTACAGTTGGTAATAATGGAGTGTGCATCATAGAGTTCTTATAGCAAGGTGTTAACAAATCGTTCAACTCCCAGAAAAAATAAATAAAAAAAGGAATGAAATATAGCACCACTACTGCTCTTTTAGTGCTAATCTAATATCATCATCGAGCCATCGAGTAACACGCACTTTGAGCAATTTGAATTTGTCATGATAGTCGATTAGTGATAACTTTTTCCATCTTAATATTGTTCATGATTGCCAATGAACGTTTTTCCATCAGCTGTTTCTTTCCTAAACGGTAAGCCCCACCCTCCACCCACTTAAGCAAAATAAAAAATCTCGGTTTCAGTGTATATTATAAAGCAGATAAAGGATGGTCTATTCGAGTTTTACTCACCAATAAAACGTAGCGGTTTGAACAGCGCACTGATTAGATACAAAACTGTTTGGTATTTGCATAATGTTTGAAACGAAAAACAAGACGCACGAAAAACCATTAACTTTAAAATTGTTTTCACCGTCACCCAAACAAGAACAAACTCCGCTGAGGGTGGCAATTGATTTCCGGTCATTTTCTAACCTGAGATCAGGCCCAATTTTAGCGGTTCTCATACATTCTCTCTAATGGCCAGCGCTAAAACTGGGGCCCTCTTTTCGTTTTGCCATGCCCGCCGGAGGTTAGTCATTGTCATATCTGTATTATCAAGAGATCATATTATGATATCTTGGTCATGATTATGCATTCTTCGTTTCGTTTCGCTTTAGTGAAAATATGTTCTTCCTGTCAGAGGGAAACCCTTCAAAAAATTATTAACACCTAACCAGACACACGTATACTCTTGTAAAATAATAATAATAAAAAAAGAAACAAACAAGCAGAGAGAAAAGTACTGCCGCAATATAATGTCATAGGATTACGTCGACAACCAGCCTAGTAATGTAGCAAATGAGTGTCAAAACTGTTCCAGAGGATTGAAAGGTCTCCATTGATTCTTATTTCTTAATCAACAACGGGACAACAGGCTAAGTTAAATCCGGATGGGAATTTCACTAAGTACTGCTCTAGAGGAAAGCAAAGGTAACAGCGATGACAACACGATCTATGGACTCCATTTGCTGGAACGAAACGCTTTACGCAAACTCGAAGAACAGGCGTCAATACTTCACCTAAAGGCGCTTAATGACGAATGCTTGCCGATAGTGTGCTGTGGACAAGAAACAGATGATATTGTTAAAAATTGATGCTGTCCCCAAAATTGACCAAGTAAGACACAGTTTAAATGGACTACTTCGAGGAAACTACCTAAAGGAACTTGTCGTTTTGCTCACGGAAAAACTGAACAATGTTTTGGAAAGTGCAAAAATGATTGGAGACACTGAAGAAAGATTGTTCAAGTACGTTGTATTCGCGAACAAGAGCATATTGCGCTTAGATTTTTTTGTTTATTATCGTTCACTCCTCCCAAACGAAAGCCTCAAGGACTACAACAACATCCTGGCGTATTTCATACAAGTAGGATTACTGGACATCCTGAAAGCTCGGCCACAGGTTTTAATCTACGAATTGACGAGAGCAACGGAAGAAGATAAAATTAACGATGCCTGCAAGAAACTTAAGGCACGAGAAAATTGTACAAGAAAACTTGGCTTCATCCTGCAATACATGGGCAAAATTTCCACAGGTAAGTACTGATTTTGGGTGTAGTAGCGATAAAGACATCAGTTTTATGGACTTTTTATGGGAAAACGTCACCTGTATCGGATCAAAATGAAATTTTTTTGACATACTGATTTGGGATTAAGTTTTTGGCAGAAGCATATAACCCTGAAGCGTATAACTCTGTTATATTCAGGGGTTTTTGGGGGGACCAATCAAAACTTACTTCCGGCTACAACGAGGTCACTCGAATGTAAAGAGCTGCAGAACATCGGCCCATTTTGTTTATTTGGATGTTTTATGCCTGAAGCGTCAAGGTATTTCAATCGGTTATGAAGTTTTTATTGTATAGCTCGCTAATGTGAATTACTTAATTATAAAATCAACTGGCTGTAGAGATCGTACCGGTGTTAAGCCTGAACAAAGCGCCGCGCTCGAGTAATCGCCGAGGGGCTGTCATCAATGACATCCTATCAGAGCATATAACCCTAAACAGGCTTTGTAGTGGAAGAATAAACGACTCAAGTAGTGCTTAGCTTTAGGGCCATTATTGCCATCCAAGGAGGATTTAAGTGCTTTTATATATCTATTTATTTTTACACATTCAATGAGCCACTGATCCATATCACACGCCTTACTGCGAGATCTCGAGGATTGCGATCACGCAAAAATTCTACTTTGATTTTTTTTTGTCGTTGTCAAGGAATGTTTAACACTGGATCCGATAACAAGAGAGGCTTTAATACAATAAGACGTCCGTGCTAAAATATAAAAATCTAGAATTAAAACATGTACCAAAAAAATAAGAATTATATTTCAGGGGCACCCAACGGCAATTTTCGGGAAAATATCTGTTCGGAAGACGATTTGAGATCTAGAATTTTCGGAGCATTTGTTGTAAAATTTCTTGCTTGCCTGCCTCTACTACGATTTTCGAACATCTACAAAATGGTATAATTACCCATTTTTAACGGATTTTGACCCTAAAAAGGGCCACCTAGAATTTTCGGGAGCCTTTTCCTGGCTGAAATTTTCGAGAAGGTAAGTTTTTATCCCTATAATCTTCGGATCACTAAACTTTCAGCTAGGAAATCCGAACAGATGAAAAGTTTTTAGGGGATAAAAATATGCCTATATCTACCGTTTGAATACAAAAATATGTTCAACAATGCTATGCTTTAGTGGTTTTGAACTATATCCTCGTTGGGTGCCCCTGATATTTGATATTTGCCAAGGTTGTCATCAAACAGATTGGTCAAGTTAATTGTTCTAATGTGAATAAACCTCAGGGGCACCCAACGAGAATATAGCTCAAAACCACTTAAACATAACATTGTTAAACGTATTTCAGTATTTAAACGGTAAATATAGGCATATTTTTATCCCCTAAAAATTTTTTATCTGTTCGGATTTCCTAGCTGAAAGTCTAGTGATTCGAAAATTATAGGGATCAAAACGTACCTTTTCGAAAATTTTAGCCAGAAAAAAGGCTTCCGAAAATTGTAGGTGACCTTTTTAGGGTAAAAAATCCGTTAAAAATAGGCAGTTATACCATTTTTTAGATGTTCGAAAATTCTAGGAGAGGCAGACAAGCAAGAAATTTTGCAAAAAATGTACCGAAAATTCTAGATCTGAAATCGTCTTCCGAACAGATATTTTCCGAAAATTGTCGTTGGGTGCCCTTGAAACCTAAGTGGCAGGCACCGGTTAGTTTCTTCGGGTTAGTGTAGGTTAGGGCCTACGCGCGCGCACGTATTCGAAATTTCTCTCTTGGCTCAAAAAAACCAAAGCCTGCGACGCGGGCTTAATGCGAATGGGCGATTGACCTCGTAAATACGGACCTAAGTAGGCCAATAGAATGTTTGCCGTAGTTAATCGTATTCTATCTTGGAATACAAAGTCTGAGTTATGTAAAATCTAGTTAGAGTCCAGTCTTTGAAATAACTCAGGAATTTGCACTCTAGAAATTCCATTTTTTACTTCGTTATATCTTTATTTCAAAGTTCAATCCAAAACCAATTACTGGTAGGGGTGAAAAATTCATGTGCATGTTGTGGTTCAATGTTATCTTTAGTTGATATCATAGGCCTTGTTGGACTTGTCCAATTGTATCCGTTTTCATTGGAAAACCAGGGGATATTTTTTCTCCTCCAGATTGGCCCTGCGTCCATTCGTACCCGATGATAATAATAATAATAATAATAATAATAATAATAATAATGCTCTTAATTCTTAAGTTATGGTTAAAATTAATCTATTTACAAAGGTGGATAGCCGTCTTTTTTGAAGGATGTATGGATCCGAGCAGGTAAATTTTCTACCGAGAATACTTTTTTTAAAGATTTTACAATAAATCTTACTTATTTAAGAGGTCCTTAAAGGAAATAGGATGAGAAACAAAAGGACGCTGATGGATAGGTATGGACGGACGAAAACGATTCGAAATCGCACCGTGTTGACGAGAATTTTTTGAAAAGGAGAGAAAAAATATCTGTTCATAATAAAAACGAGAAAACCTGTGGGCGGGGACTTATTTTCCTTACTCTCGTACCCAGATCTCCCACACGAGACAGAGTGAGGTCTGGGTACGAGATTTTAGTTTCCGAAATTTCTTTTGTTTTGAGTTATGGTAATTGAAGGGAAAGAGAAATTTGAACGAAGGATGAAGTTGAGCACTCAATACATGTCGATCCGCCCTACATCTTAAAAAGCCGCCGATTTTTTTCATGAAAAACGTTGGTTCCCCGAACTCTAAAGGGTGATAATTCTTACAACAGCAGGTCTAAAAAGAAAACAGTTAACATATAAAAACAACCCTGAGAAATTTCCATGTTGAAAGCACTCGATTTATGACATTTAGGCGACTATTTAAAATTAAGAGCTTTATAGTCAGTAGCCTAAAAAACCTCCTTGCAAATGTACCACTTTAGACAGTGTCCTCCTTATTAAACTTGTTCTTTCCTCCAATTTCAATTTCTGGCCTAGATGAGATACGTGATTATGATCAACATTGTGGAGTACACGAAGGGACAATGGACCGTACACCTGAAAGAGATAGTGACAACCAATTGATGTCTGTTGCCGTTGGGACTAATGCACCTACTAGCAGGATCGATTTTGAAGAAGACAACCATTTTCCTGTAACTGATTTACAGGAGAGTGGCTATTCGGCGGAGCTAAGAGATTCGCCCGCCGCAACGCTTGCATTAGATGACCGTGATCCCACGGCTTCATCATCATCAGTGGCAGCCCCCACTGTTGATCAAGTTAGTAGAGCTCAGAAATTAGACCCAAAAGAAAGGAGTATTTGGTTTGGTACAGGAACAAAGACAGTTGACACTGATCTTGAAGAACAAATATTAATGTTAAAAGAAACTCAGATCAAGTACACAGAGCTCCTCAAGCTTGCAAAGCAGATGATGCAACATTTCCAGAGAATGACTGACAGTCAGCGCGATTTAGCCGCTGCATTTGCAGACTTAAAAATGAAATTACCTGAGTCGGCTGAGTTACAATATGGACTCAACAACAGCGTTGAGACTCAAAGATCGCTGATAATGAACGGTGAAATTCTTCTAGGAGCGCTTAGTTTCTTCATATCCAACCTGACCACTCTTGTGCACACAACCATGGAAGATTCTATTGTTACAGTGAAAACATACGAGTCCGCTAGAGAGTCTATGCCACTAGCCAAACATCAGCATGATATCCATAAAGAGAAATTTGACAAGCTTCGTACTACCTTAACGATAAAGCTTGGATTTTTAGAGGAAAACAAAGTTAAGGTGATGCAAAAGCAATTACTGCTTTTCCAAAATGCTACAAGTGCTTATTTTTCCGGGGACAAACAGGCCTTGGAGAACTGTGTCAAGACGTTTCATTTCAAAATTCCTAGAGAGTGAAGCCAAACAACAGGGATTTCCGAATAGAAGTGAAGCATCTAAAAACTCTTATATTTATTTAGCAATTATTGAATGAGGTTCCGAGAAACGTAGAGAAGTAGAGTGTCTACAAAATAATTGCCTGTTATTTGGTAGTTTCAGTGTGAATAAAAAGCCAGTGACATTTCGTCTTAGCCTCACCGTGATTTTTTTCTCCATTTTCTTGAGTTCTGTCTCTTAAGTGACGTAAATGATGGTATAATTTGTAATATACGATGAACGTCTGCGGAGTGACTGACGATAATGATGGTATATTATCTCAGCATTTTCCAAATTTGGTCAGCGCCAGCTGGTTACGAAGAATTAACGGGGAGATAACAGCCAATCAAAACGGAGAAATATTTCGAATGAATAATAAAATATGTATCGTTAAGCTAACTTTGATTTCTTCCCAAAACTGTTCAGTTTCGTCAATTCGCATATATCAAAATGAATAATGGTGATGTCATGTTTTGGCTTTTAGCAGTAAACAAATTCCAAGAAATTACATTGATAGTAAAGCAGATGATTACTGTGTTTCTCCGCTCATGAACGGAGAAACTAAACTGATTCTCGATGATTTTTAGAAGTTTGCGCTAGTGTCTCTGTTTTTGTATAGATGCTGTCGCTTTAATTTCGGTAATATTTACCTGTCCAATTTAGATTATCTCAATTCAGTTTATCTTTAATGAGATAAAAACGATTTGTATCTCTTCCATAGTAATTTCAATTACATGGATCACGTGATGTCAAATGCAAAGTAGTTGCTGCATGAAGGTTTGCTTATAGTGGAAAGTACACGTAGCTTATCCAGCTAGTTTACAGGCACTCCGCTCAAATAATTAGAAACAAATAATTCCAATGGAATATAACGATCTCGACTGGCAGTAGGCAACCATTTGGCTAATTACAAGCGTGGCCGAGGATTTAAACATCCTTCGCTGTACTCGTTTCCAGCGTCCTTCCTCGTAAACTGTAGTCGTAATGTAGCCGGTTTAAAGAGGAGCTTAGGCTGTATAGCACGATCACGTAACAGAAGTAAGAGAGAATGTACCTGAATTTCTAAAATTCGGCCTGATTTCAGGCTATATAAATGACATCATTTCTATGTTGCATATGTTGTGGTTCAATTTTATCCTTGGTTCAAATTTTCTTTTCTTTTGTTTTTGGGTAGGGTAATGTATGATAATAACATGATAATGAGTTTGAAACAAAAGAAAAGAAAATTTGAACTACGCATAAAATTGAACCACAACACATACAAAATGAGCGTTTCCGATAGCCTGCGAGCAAGCTCTCCTAACTGGGCAAGTGAAGCGAGCCTCGCGAGAACGCGCGAGCGGGCGGCGAAGCCGCGAGGGGCAGGGGAAAGGAAATTATCAGGAGCCCATCAAATGGAGCCTCCATCTCCCATACAAGCCCTTGGAGTCAACCCTTTCCCGAGTAGATTTATAATTAGAACGGTTCCCAGGGGAGACTTCGCGCGCCGACGGTGGGAAGAGCCAATCACAACGACTAAATGACACTGCTATTGTACTTCATGAAACAGCAGGAAATCCGGTGCTGACAGGCCCAACAAAAGCATAAGCTAGTGAAACGTGATTTTAGCGTTTTCATCCCTCAGAGATTTTCTTTCTTTTCTTTCTAGCGGATAGATTATACTGTGGAGAGTTTTAAACTCTGACTATGTTAATCTTTATTTTGGTTGCTTGTCTCACATTAAGAGGCCATGAAGCTGGTCTGTTACATGCGTAATGATTAACTACTACCTGCAGTCTGTAGTTCTGACAGGATTCGTTTTCTTTAGCCAATCTTTTTGAGCGTTAAGGTTCTTATTTCGGCTAAATGACTCAATATTAATGAAATTTTTAGTTTTTCAAGTTTTTTTCCGAAATGCGTTTGTCTGAATAAATACTGTGGTTGTTTTGTCCGTCAGTTAGTGTGATGATTCCCTGCTATGTTTCAGTGTAACGCCAAGCCCAGCCATTGTTTTCTCGCAAAAAAGTGATCTACAGATGCGAATTCGAAGGAAAGAATTGGCCTACACTTCTACATTAATTTGTGAGAATCCTCCTGTTAGTCAGTCATAATTCTTTTGGCGCAGATACAATCCGTTTTGTTTTTCTTGAGATAAGAGGGTCTTTGGACTGAAGCGCGATGTCGCAAATTCCACCGTTAGCAAATTACTTTTGAGTTAGCTTCACGGTCGAGCAACTGTGGTCTTCTGTTCAACTTTTCAAGTGCCAGTTTTATCAGGCAACTCTCATGGTGATACAAGTCAGTTGTAAAGGAAGACTGCAATTTTTCTGAAGCATTCCTCCTTAGTTGCTACTTAGGTCATCGCTTTTGCACGCGGTGCTTAACTGGCAAAATCCACTCCACGGCGATGACAAAAATCAAATAATCCTGGCACTTTTTCGGCGCTGATCATCGAAAAGTTTCAAATCGTCCACAGAACGCTTAATCGTCGACTCTTTTCAAGGTGCATGCTTAAATATGGGATGTATGACGGCAAAAAAAAAAACAAAAAACAAACACTCGCAAAGAACCTTTCCGTGATCCTCAGTTCGCTGCCTTCGTCCCATCGCTTCATGCTCAGTCTCAGTCGGGTAATTCATTAACTTTTATTTCATCCCAGATCCCAGCGGCTGTAAAACTGTAGAAATGGACGTATAGTAAAAAAGGAAAACGGTCGAATGACGGGCTTCTGAGTTCGACTTCATCCAACTTTATTTTTTTGACACTTTTCGCGGGAAACAAGCCGTTCTATTTATAAATCTACTCGGGAAAGGGTTGACTCAAGAAATTAATGGAGATGGAGGCTCCATTTGATGGGCTTCTGAAATTATTCGACATTTGATTCTCATACAAACACTGTAATTTCTCACACGTTTGCCTACTCGTCAAGATGGCGTCGAAAACCGTGACAAGGTCTATTGCTCTTTAACATTGCGTATTAATTAAAAAACAGTTCAGTGGAAACCCGACACACAACAAACCTCTTTATAAATCGCAGTACAACGATGTAAAAAACAATGTAGAGGAAAGGTATGGGACAAGATTGCGATAAAAACTCAACATCGCGAAACTAAAAACGAATTTAAAACAACTTCACCATCGCTTCTCACGAAAAAGAGCGCGAAAACGTGTGGAATTCCTTTGGTTTTGGTTTTACATCTAATTGGGTAAGAGAGTTGTTTGAGTTTTTTCAGCCAATCACAAAGCATATATTTTTCAAAATGAAGGAATTACGAAATAGCAGTAGTGAACACAATAAGCTTTGCTTTAATAGGGATGTAGCCACATAACTTTTGATTCACTTACGGAATCACACCTCCAACTCCACCTCCACGAACTAGTTACAATTTCGGCGTTCTACAGATCTCCTTCACCTCTACTATAATTCTTATAATCACAACCATTACAATTTCCTCAAATTTGTCTGGTGCATTGACTGCTTTATTTTTCATTGATTATTGTGCAGGCTTGCAATTGTGATTGAACAGTGTGATTAGACAGTTACATTAGCCAATCATATTAAGTGCACTCAGCTAAATCCACCAATCACAGAATTTATTACAATAACGATAGCAACAACCACTTTAACCTTACAAAACTGGGGATTTTCCAAAATGGACAAAATTGCGACATTAGAAAGTATCTCTGCTACTGATATTTTCCCTAATAAAGGATCGTTGTTTGTTAAAAGCTCATCACGGAAAGAATGCATTTGCTTTCTCGGAGATTGTAATGGTTATGATTAATTGGTAACGGGACTTCGTGTCGTCCAATTTGGTCTGTGATCTTAATCGCGAATAACAAATCAGACTCCCACTACGCGGCCGTTCGATTTTGTTACACGCTCAATAAAAGAGTAAAACAATAATTTTTTGCCAGACATTTTGAAAGTGTTAGGGACGAACTTTTCTTTGGCTGATGTAGCAAGACCTCACAAAACAACACTTCTTCACTGATTTTTAGTTGAAACGTGGTTATGACTGGGTAAAGTTATGCAAAGACTTGCTCGACGCGCAAGTGAGGCTACCCGAAATCAGTTCGCTTGCAAAATGGTGACACTGTCTGTGAAGTTCATGCCTGCATAACAAAACGATTTTTCCGACCAGAACGTGAAAACACCTGGGGTCAATTCAATAATACTTCTACAAGTGTAAGCTACAAGTGTAGCAATTGTTTTTAGTGTCCGAAAACAAAAGCTACACTTGTAAATTACACTTGCAAAAGTTTTATTAAATTCATCCCTGATCGAACTAAAAACAACCGACAACGGTTTTTCCCATAAGAAAACGACCACTGATTCACGTTTTTTGCTTTTTTCCGTTCAATCTTGATACTCAAACAACCCGTGAAACCAACATTGGGAGAAAGAGAGCGGATTCACACGTGTTCTATACAAGACAGTCGTGTTTTTTGCGAGTTTCAAGAAGTGTTTCAAGGAATTATCACTGTGATTGTGGCTTCATCCTGTACTATTGACTGCTGCACTTACCGCGTGAGCCATTCTGAGCTAGTTCCAGTTTCGTCATATTCTCCTAAACCAAAAGCCTGCTGGGCGACTTGACGAGAATCACCTGACAGCGGTTCAAACAATGTGTAATGCTCTGAACCAACTGGAGACGTGAACACTGATGACGTCAGTGTCCGCTACTCTAGGAATGCCATGACGCCGAATCAGCCTGTTATTTAAATCAGAATCTTCCATCTGGCCGGGATCTAAGAAATGATAAACTGGTATAATATTAGGACAAGATCCTGCAGACAGGTGAAAATCAAGCCACAGCGACGATTTCAGTTCAAAGCACACATGAGTAACGTAAAACACTAAATTGTTCCTTTTTTTCACAAACAGTTCCTTGTCATCTAAAGTCACAGATAGTTGTTAACAAACAGAACAGCTTGTTTCGTGATGGTCTATGATGATTCCAATTTTTCCTTCCTTGTCCTTTAGTACCAACGTGGCAATC